AACACATAAATAAAAAAAAGGCATAGATAAATGGCATAAAGAGCACTTTTAATAATAGAAAATAGAGCATAACAAAAGAAAAAGAAGTCGTATCATGATAACAGAAGAAACTTTTAATAACAGAAGAAAAAGAAATCGTTTAGGGCAAAAAATGAGCGCTTAAAAAGTGAAAAAAATTGAAAGAAGAACAGAAGAGAAGAAGAATAACAGAAGAAGACAGAAAACAAAGCATGAAGAAGAAGAACAGAAGAACTGAAGAAGAAGACTAGAAGAAGAAGAAGAACAGAAGAAGAAGAAGAAACTTACCGAGATCTGGAGATGAAGTCGTCGCTGGAGTTTGCTGGGCTGGAGAAGAAGACTTTCGTATGTTTTGGTAACAGATGCCTTCTGCTCGTATGTTTATTTGCCCAAAATTTTAAAAAAAGACCTAGCTGATGCCTTCTGCTCGCTTAAGCGAGCTTTTTCTCGCTTTTTCTAACTCGTCGCTTCTCGCTAAAGCGAGAAAAGCGCTCGCTTTTCTAATGTGAGTCGCTTTTTACCAGAAAAGCGCTACCACTGAGCCTCGCCTCGCTTCATCGCTTAAATCGAAAAGCGAGCGCTTTTAATAACACTGCGCATGTAGCATCCTCCGACCATTTTTTGAAAAAATTTCTTTAGAACAGTTGGGTCATGTACCAATTCCGACCCCACCCATACTGTTTTCGTTTGATTCCGACCTCTTTGAGTTTTTCCGGCGACTATACTGATTTTTTCTGGCAGCTACAGTAATTTCCCGGCAAAAACAGTGTTTCCTTTATCTGTTTCAGCGAGTTTTCAGTTGATTCTTTCTGTTATTTGGTGATAATTTTATAGACCTCACTTCAATCCAACTATGTCTTTGGGAGTCGATGCCTTCGGGTCTAAAAACCCGGGTTCTGGAAATTCCGGTGTTATGATTACCTCAAAACCTTTAATGGGAAGTTCAAACTACTTAGTTTGGGCTTCGTCTGTCGAGTTGTGGTGTAAAGGTCAAGGTGTTCAAGATCATCTAATCACGAAGTCTAGTGAAGGAGATGAAAAGGCCAAAGCACTTTGGGAGAAGATCGATGCTCAATTATGCAGTATTCTGTGGCGATCTATTGATTCCAAGTTGATGCCTTTGTTTCGTCCATTCCAGACATGTTATTTGGTTTGGGAAAAGGCTCGCACTTTATACACTAATGACATATCTCGTTCCTATGATGTGATATCGCAGATGACAAATTTAAAGAAACATGAATTAGATATGTCTACTTACTTGGGACAAGTACAGGCAGTCATGGAGGAATTTAAGAAGTTGATGTCAGTTTCTGCTAGTGTTGCAAAGCAGCAAGAGCAGCGACAAAATGTTTCTAGTTCTTACTCTTGCTGGGCTTCCTAATGATCTTGACTCAGTACGCGATCAGATTTTGGCTAGTTCGACTGTCCCCACAGTTGATGAATTATTCTCTCGATTACTTCGCCTTGCTGCAGCACCAAGTCATCCAGTGATCTCATCACAGACACTTGACTCATCTATTCTCGCATCCCAGACAGTGGACAATCGGGCATCTCATACTATGGAGAATAGACGAGGAGGAGGTCATTTTGGAAGATCTAGACCCAAGTGCTCTTATTGTCATAAACTTGGACATACTCGTGACATGTGCTATTCTTTACATGGTCGCCCACCCAAAAATGCTTATGTTGCTCAGACCGAAACTACAGGTAACCAGGGATTTTCTTTATCTGAAGGGGAGTATAATGAGTTCCTTCAATATCGAGCAAGTAAGCAGACATCTCCACAAGTAGCCTCTGTTGCTCAGACTGATACTTCTGTTGCTGGTAATTCTTTTGCTTGTGTTTCCTAGTCTAGTACTCTTGGACAACGGGTTGTGGACTCAGCCGCTTCTGATCATATCTCTAGTAATAAATCACTTTTGTCAAATATTGCGTATTCACAGTCTCTTCCCACTGTTACTTTAGCCAATGGGTCTCAAACTCAAGCAAAAGGAGTTGGACAAGCGAATCCCTTACCCTCTGTCACTCTAGATTCTGTTCTTTATGTCCCTGGTTGTCCTTTTAATCTTGCATCTGTTAGTCGTTTGACTCATGCCCTCCATTGTGGTATATATTTTATTGACGATTCTTTTATTATGCAGGACCGCAGTACGGGACATACAATTGGAACAGGACTTGAATCAGAAGGCCTTTACTACCTTAACTCACTCACTTCCTCCAAGGCATGTCTAGTTACAGATCCTCCAGACCTAACTTCAGAAGATGGTGCCTAGTTTATCTACATTAGAGTGTGAGTCATGTCAGCTTGGGAAACATACCCGACCCTCTTTTCCTCGTAGTATTGAGAGTCATGCAGAGTCTGTTTATTCTTTAGTTCATTCTGATATATGGCTTAGAATATTTATCCTCTCAATTTCAGCAGTTTATGACTTCTCAAGGAATTATTCATCAGACCTCTTGTCCTTGTACCCCTCAGCAAAATGGGGTTGCAGAGAGAAAGAATAGGCACATTATTGAGACCGCTCGCACACTTCTTATTGAATCTCATGTTCCGTTGCGTTTTTGGGGCGATGCAGTTCTCACAGCTTGTTATTTGGTTAATCGGATGTCTTCATCTCCAATCCAGAATCAGATTCCGTATACAGTATTATTTCCCCAGTCACCCTTATACTCTGTTCCTCCTCGTGTTTTTGGGAGCACTTGTTTCGTTCATAACTTAGCCCCTGGGAAAGATAAGTTAGCTCCTCGTGCTCTCAAGTGTGTCTTCCTTGGTTACTCTCGTGTTCAGAAGGGATATCGTTGTTGCTTACCTGATCTTCGTAGGTACTTTATGTCCTCTGACGTCACATTTTTTGAGTCTAAACCTTTCTTTACCTCTTCTGACCATTCTGACCACCTTGATATATCTGAGGTCTTACCTATACCGACCTTTAAGGAGTCTACTATAGCTCTTCCTTCACCTTCCGCCACAGAAGTCTTACCCATTCCAACCTTTGGGAAGTCTAGTGTGGCTCCTCCTAGACTCCCCGCCACAGGAACACCACTCGACATATCATCGTCGTCCGCACCCAACATCAGGCCTAGTTGATTCACGTCCTGCACCTGACCTTGCTCCTACTGCGGACTTGTCTCTTCCTAATACATCGATTGCACTTCGGAAAGGTATACGAACTACCCTTAATCCTAATCCCCATTATGTCGATTTAAGTTATCATCGTTCGTCATCACCCTATTATGTTTTTCTATCTTCTTTGTCCTCTGTTTCCATCCCTAAGTCTACAGGTGAAGCATTGTCTCATCCAGGATGGCGGCAGGCTATGATTGACGAGATGTCTGCTTTACATACGAGTGGTACTTGGGAGCTCGTCCCCCTTCCTTCAGGTAAATCTACTGTTGGTTGTCGTTGGGTGTATGCAGTCAAGGTTGGTCCGGATGGTAAGGTTGATCGTCTTAAGACTCGTTTTGTTGCCAAGGGATATACTCAGATATTTGGGCTCGATTACAGTGATACCTTCTCTCCCGTGGCTAANCAGGACAGGGGGAGCCTCTTAGCGATCGTACAAGATATAGGCGGTTGGTTGGTAAATTAAATTACCTTACAGTGACAAGACCTGACATTTCCTTTCCTGTGAGTGTTGTGAGTCAGTTTATGGATTCTCCGTGTGATAGTCATTGGGATGCAGTTGTTCGCATTCTTCGGTATATAAAATCAGCTTCAGGCAAAGGTTTATTGTTTGAGGATCGAGGCCATGAGCAGATCGTTGGAGACGTTCTACTTCTGGATATTGTGTCTTAGTAGGAGGAAATTTGGTATCTTGGAAAAGCAAGAAACAGAATGTGGTTGCTTGGTCTAGTGCAGAAGCAGAATATCGAGCAATGGCTATGGCGACATGTGAGCTA